CACAGGTGGGTCTTGTGATAGGCAAGCTTAGTTCTGTCCTGGATCGTGGATTTGTGTTTGATTTGATCCCAACACCGACCAACGATGATGGAGAACCAGCATGCTCGGTTTTGGAGATCAGAGATGATAAAAGGAAGCCATCCAAGTCGAAATCTCAGTCATCGGAGTCGGCTTCTCTATCAATTGATTCCGACTGGGTAGCAGAACATGCCAGACAGGTTTGATACTTCTGTTTATGCATTTTTTGAACTCCCATTTGTGCTGTTCTGATACTTTTTCGATGAATGTGTATGGTTCATGATGATTGCCATTGTAATGGATGTTTCGTCTTCAGGTATCGAGAATGCTTCTGGGTGGGATGAAGGTGGTTGGTATCTATGTATGGGCTAGTGACAGTGCTTTTAAGAATTCAACTATGATCCTTTGTCAGGTAACTTTTATGTGGGATCTGTTTACCTTCTGTAACTTTAATGTGACATGCTTAGTTCAGATCAGGGTGATATGTCTCTATATGGTTTTCTTGAAATTAAGAGATATCTTTTAATAGTGTCTTTGCGTTTTCTTGTTTGTTAAATCGAGATTTTTGGGGGGGGGAAATAACAATAGATTATGTGAGTTATGCTATATCAACTTTGTGATAAATCTAAATTATGGGACTTTTATCAGGCTATTAAGGGAGTTTCAGATGCAATACGACATTTAGATCCTGGTTTGGATGAAGCTCTTCTTGTTCACATATGTTACAGTCCAAGGAGGTACACCCCCTTTAAGGAATTTAATTCCTAAAGTTATAAGAACTATCGCGCACTTAAACTAAGTATGTGCAATGTTTGTAGATGGAATTGTCGAACTTGTTTATTGAACTCAAGTATTACATCAAGTAGCCTTCGACCTTGTGACTTTAAGCTGGGAAGAGTATTGAGTTCTCTACAAAAGTTTAAGTGCAGCTACAGCTTTAATTTCAGGTATCTCTTTTCATTTAGATTTTGATCTTGGACTTCTACATTCTATCTCTTTTTGTTGGTGAATGTAATGTTCATGTATAAAATTTAGTACACAGGGAATTTTTTTTAATTAGGTTGAAATTGATTTGAATCTCCTAGTTACCAATGTGTTTGGTTTTGAAATTTAATAAGCACTCAGGCACATCCCTATGATTTCTCTGAATGTAG